TTGACAACCAAAACAGTGGGTGCCTGTATGTACAGTCAAAGCCTCACACGAGTCATAGACTAAATTTCAAAGAGCATTGAACCTCATTCAATTCTCAGTTCACGGCCAGCCCCACAATTTTTGTCAAAGTGTGAATCCTAACTGCAACCATTCCGAGTTGGAAGGTTTTTTTTACTAATAAGTGAATCATCTGCAATCAAAGGGGTAATACTCTGGGCCAACCACCCATTCTTAGCTTTTCACAAAAAAGGGAACTCCGGGGTAAGCCGGTGACGAGACCAGTAAAGATGTCAGCGAAAAAGACGCCAAGTTGTTATGTTTTTTGAATTGAAAAGCAAAATTGAAATAGGATTTGAAAACAGCCACGATTTCAAGTATCATCAGAGAAGGAATCGAATAATATGTTTGCCAGATTCACATTCGAGTTTCAAACACTCGAGCTTCATCTGAAGCGGCTCTGTTGTATGAATGCCTCCTTGGTTACACAACGTGATTTTCAGGACCAATAGATTTACAATCCTACTAATTGGCCGTTGTCCTTGATAAAAAGGAAGGCCTTCAACAGTTCTTACCTTTCTCCATTCCATCTTTTTCCTCCGTTCAATAATAAAATCAATAAATTCTACCAAATTCGACTCACATGTTCAGGAGAAGTCAGCACCCCTCACAGATGTCTCCTTGACTATACGAGCTGGTCTTTGCTTGTACATGACCGTGCTGGCGATGTATCTGAACACACTTCTTGTCAGTTAACTCAAGCAATTTTTTATGTAGTGAAATTTATCTCAACTGTAATCGAAATACCTTTAGTTTATATTAATTCACTACAAAGTTATTCAAACTCGTCAAGCAGCCAAAGCTGTCGTAGTAGTATCAGCACAGCCCGCAGAGCCGGTATGTGTTACAATGTATATTAAAAATGTACATCGTTTTCATTTTGTTTTGTGACAGAAAGTAGAAGAAAAGGTATCTATCGAACCGGAAGAACCGGCCATCGCCTGGTTAGAATTGCAGAAAACACAAACACTGGTACGTGAAAAAGCTTTATCATAGTAACCCTGGAAGTCGAGTTAACTGGGATTCTATCCAAAGCGCAGATTACGCGAAAAGCAGAAAGTCTTTGGCCTATGCGGGGAGAATTCCTCGATACTCCCTAACACAATCACAACGGTCTTGTTGTAAGTCAGTTGACCATACACGAGCCGGACACGCCTCCTAGTACCTGACAGTGAATGGTTTCTGACGAAGAGCATGCCCCTCCAAGACACCTTGGTTCTAAGGTCAGGCAAGCCGCCTAACGACAACAGCTTCTCAATAAGAAAAGGTCATACCTATCCTGGATTATGTTCTGACCAGTATGTGACTGTAAGCTCTTCAATGGCCTGTAAGAGGTAGAGGTAAGCTTGAAGCTAGATGATCAGAAGCTCGGCCGATTTTCGACCGAAATAAAGCCACCAGCGATAAGAAGCTAGTCTAAGCACGGTTGACCTCCAAGACTGTTCAACTAGCCATCCTAACAATTTACTACTACATAGAGGAGTGATCTGAAAGTGAAAGATGAAGTTAATAGCGCCAGGTGACCCTCCTAATCACCTTTGTATGGATGAAGCGATTTGAACACGAGCTTCAAGAAGCGCAGTTACCTTTCGTTACGCTCCTGGTCTGATTTTCTCGAGAGTTCATCAGAACGACCCTCGGACAGCTTCCATTAGAACGACCCTTGAATACGTTCACTATACGGAACCGTCGATCACCTTATATTTCATATACCCCTCCACGATTCCTTTGACCAATCTTTTCGCTGTGAATCGACAGTGACGGATTAAATGACAGAAAACAGTTCAAAGAACGCAATATCACAAAATAAGCAAAAGAGGGACCATCTTTGCCTAAACGAGGAAAAAGGAGACAAAAGTAAGCAGGAGCAAGATTCAAATAAACCTGACAACCCTGGTTCAACTAGAACCACCTTAGTCCCTTCTCAAAGCCTTAGACGGAACCTTAGGCATACTTTAGAGTTTCTTCTAATTTTGATTCTCACCTATAAAAACTGAAAATAAGGCTGATTCCGATATAAAAGGGATTCCGATTATACCATTAAAAAAGTTGTTTAAAGGAGAAGACAGAAGAAAAAGAGGATCTAGAGGCAGAGAAAGCAGACAAGCTTGAAAAGAGGTAA